TTCAATGAAAGTAAACTCTAGAATTTAAAATCTCTATCCTTTCTTGGTTTGTAGAAGTCAACCCTTTTTATTGCTTATTAAAGGCTAAAATCAATGACCTTGCTTAGATTAGACACAACTCTATGAATTTTCCAAGTTGGGCAAAGCAAAGAGACACTTTGATATGATCAAAGTAAGACTTTTAATATTTTTTGTATTTACGTTAACAATTCAATTTTATATCATTTTCATTTAAATCCATTTTGATGATATGCTATTTTAATACGAATAACTATATTATATTTAAAAATAAAAAAAATTATGTTAAAAGTTAGGATGAAAGATATAATGTATTATGGTAAAATTAGGTCTCTAGTCATTCGACATATATATGCGTGTGTGAATGTTTATAAAAGGACAAGCCTTCATTAATTTAAAAGGCTGAATTAGAGAAAAAATGAAAGAATTTTTTTATCTTAATCTTTTAACTTTTTCTTATTTAAAATTTATAATTGGTAAAAATATATTTAAATAAAATTTATTAAATTGATTTTAAAATATGTATTTTATAAAATTTAATTATGTAAAATCAAAGTATAAAATGTGATATTAAAAAATATGCATATGTATTTTAGATAATTTTAAGTATATATGAAAAAGGGCAAAACGAAGAACACATGGGGCCCATATCATTAGGAGGGTGACATGTTGGCATGTAACATGTGAATATAAGATACTGAGATCATGCACATGCGCGCGTTCCGCGCTCTTCAATTTTGCTCAACACAAATGCCTCATTTGATTGGTTCTTGTTATTAAAAACATCAAATTTATTTCACTTTTCAATTATTGAGAGGAAAAACGGCAAATGTTAGCATTGGGAGTTTGATGGATGGTTGACAATTGAAGTTGAAGACGCCATTGGCACGGAGAAAGCAACGCCTATATCAGCTTCTTCTCTCTTTGATTGTCAAACCTCTGTGCTTTTAGTATTTAAACATAGTCTTCTGATCCTAAAAGCCACTGATTCATCTCTCTCCTCTGAGTCCTTTCCTTTACACGTTTGCTTTTCTTCTCCTTTTTCCCGTCACGTTTCCGAGCTTCGTGGGTGAGTTTCCTTTTTTCCTTTTTCTGAATTCATAAAATTAATGTTTTGCATGGTTGAATGCGTTTATAAATTGGTATTTACATGGCGTTTTTGTTAATTCCATGTTGAACCTTTTTGACTTTCTCTTTTGCCTCGAAACTCACTTTTGTTTTGTCATGTGTTTTTTTTTGTTTCCATTTTCAGGTAAAACCCCCTTTTTTTCCTTTAAATTTTCCATTTTCTTTGTGTCTCTGCAGTTAAAGCTTGTTTTCTTTGAATTCCCATGCTGAATGATCATTTGATTGGTGTGTTGTGTGTGTTTTAAAGTTTTCTTGGTGATTCGAGTTCCTTAAGATTTGCTTCCTTTTTATACTATCTTTTGTAAAAATCAATGGTTATTGTTTTTTCTTTACCTTTTCTCTTTTAATGATTCTGATATGGCTTTTCTCTTGTGTTCTTCATATGTTTGTGTGTTGCAGCACATTTTCCAGAAAAGCATTTCCAAGGAAGGGTCTCTGATTTGATCATTGAAACCGAGACAAATCGTTGTTTCTTGCTCTGCATTCATAAATTCATTGAAGCTTCTTGTGTGCAAATGCTAAATTCATCAAGAGGAAGAAGCCAGAGAAGGTCAACTCGATCGATGCTGTTGGCAGGTAACATTTTTTTTTTAGTAACAAATCTGAGTGCTACAAAATCCGAATTTCTAATACGGCTTGCTTGTGCTCGAATGCAATGCTAATGATATAATATTAGAACCCCTCCTAATGCAAAAATCCCTAATTTATTTTTGTTGTTGTTGGATTTGTTTCTTGCATGTCATGGAACCTGATCCTAAAAAGAAGAGCAATGTTGTTGGAAAAATCCTTATGGTTGCTGCACTTACAGCCTTATGCATATCATGCTCAAGCAATCTCCATCCTTCAGTACTCCCACTCATGTATTCTTCTCCATTCCATCTCTTAATTCTTCTTCCACTGGATAATCAATGCGATTTTCGACTATTTCTTCTCACTCTATTGGATACAAAAAAGCTGCAGATAGCTTGATTTATTTGATAATTGGACCAAATATGGGAAAAGTGTAGATTAGAGCTATTATTCATCTGTCTTCCCACTTGTTAAAGACACTTCTTATGTGTGGATATATGTATTTTGGGGGTATCCATCAGCAATTATAGCATGTCCCTGTGCATCTTCCTTAAGATTTCGATTAATCGAACTGTTTTCTGGATTGTGCTTAATATCATCTTCGCTTGATGAAAATTGTAACAGTTTCTGTTTTGAAGTTATCTGATTTCTCTGTTCTTGACTCCCTGGTTTTGTTTTTCCAGTTCTCCCGACAGAAGAAGGGTAACTATGTTCTCGTAACGGGCGGTGCCAGATATATAGGTTCGCACGCTGCTTTACGACTTCTCAAGGAGAATTACCAAGTAACAATCGTGGTATGTTTTTAGTTTAGGATATGTAGCAATCTCCTTTCTGGTGTGGTTAGTCTCGGTTTCAAGGAAGAGTCGTTTCTTTTGCAGGAGAATCTTTCACGTGGAAACATGGGTGCTGTCAAGGTTCTACAGAGTTATTTCCCGAACCTGGAAGGCTGCAGTTCATTTATGCCGATCTAGGGGATGCAAAAGCCGTAGATAAAATATTTTCGGAAAACGCCTTTGATGCTGTTATGCACTTCGCGGCAGTTGCATATGTCGGGGAAAGCACGATGGATCCTCTCAGGTAAGTCTCCTTACGGTTTATTATCCGAAGTATCTCGTTCCATGGTGTCTAAACTATGATGTTCTCGATGGTATGTTTGGCCATATGACTCGCAGGTACTATCACAACATTACTTCAAACACCTTGACGGTCTTGAAGTCGATGGCTGCTTACCGTGTTCCGACTTTGATATATTCTAGTACTTGTGCGACGTACGGCGAGCCTGAAAAAGATGCCAATCACTGAAGAAACCCCACTGGCAAATTGCAAACATGTTTCATGCTTAGTTATATCGAAATTAACGGTTGTGATATACGGCAAACTGATATTGCTTCGGAACCAACTCAGGTTCCAATCAATCCGTATGGAAAAGCTAAGAAGATGGCAGAGGATATGATTCTAGATTTCTCCAAGAATTCAAACATGGCGATATGATTCTAAGGTTAGTATTTTTGTCCACTTTCCAAGTGTTTTGAGAATAGGCATAGCAGATTGTCACAATCCAAAAACATGCTAAAGTTGTTGGTGGAACGACACGAATTCAGATACTTCAATGTGATCGATGGATCCGGAAGGAAGGGATCCGGAAGGAAGATTAGGCGAGGCTCCAAGACCCGAGTTGCGTGACCAAGGACGAATTTCGGGTGCTTGCTTCGATGCAGCTCGTGCCTCGTGGTATCATTACCAGTATCAAGGTAAGCTATTCGTTTCACTCCCTTCACTCATCATCTTAAGTGCCTGCTCAGTTTCTTTCTAACGAATTTGATGAAACCTTGGTGCTTATTTCTGCAGGTGAAGGGAACTGACTACAAACGCATGACGGAACATGCATACGTGATTACATCGACGTTACTGACCTGGTTGACGTTCACGTCAAAGCTCTCCAACACGCAGCCTCGTAACGTAGAATCTACAACGTTGGCACATGGAAAGGAAGATCGGAAGGAGTTTGTAGAGGCATGTAAGAAAGCCCGGGTGGATATCTTCCATGCCGACCAGGAGATTAGCAGAAGTCTTCAGCAATCCGTCTAAGATCAGGCAATAACTGAACTGGACAGCTCGATATACCAATCTAGAGGGAGTTTACAGATTGCATGAGATGGCAAAAGGCTCACCATAGCGGATACGATTTGAAAATTCAAATATGAATTTGTTGAATTCAAAGGTGGGCAACATGGGCGGCTAAAGAAGAATTCAAAGGGCTGGTGGCTGCCTACTTTTGTTGATTTTTTAGCTTGGTAAAATTATTTTTAGTCACTAGTCTTTAGGGTATTTTCAAAGATTAGTCCCTAAGTTTCAACTATAAATACCCTAGCTCATTTAGTTTCAAAATCATCCCAAAATCTTCTAGTTCTCTCAAGTGTGTTGTATAAACACCTGTAAATTTTCTCTTAGTAAAAGATCTGTAGCAGCCTGGAGACGTAAGCACAATTGGCTGAACTCCGTTATCAATTTTCTGGTATTATTTTTCCGCTTTATTTTGCATTCTTACTAATCTGGTTATAGGGAAATTACTTGTACTCGGTTTATTTCCTAACAACTGGCATCAGAGCTTTTTTGGTTGTGAATTCTGTCAATTTTTTGTGAGGTTACTATTCGGGTTACTATTCACGTGAATAGTAAATTTCGTGAATAGTGAAATTCGGTCGGCGATACGAGTTTGTCGACGGAGGTGTTCTAATACACGGCGGTTCGCAGAAATTGTCAGAAACGATCCAAACGAAGCCAGATTCGAGTGGGAGCGATGGCTGCAGACGAAGGGAAGGTGAAAATTGAAAAGTTCGATGGTGCGGACTTTGGATTTGGAAGATGCAAATTGAAGATTTTCTGTACCAGAAAATCTATATCAACCCCTCTCAGGAAAACAACCAGAGGGCATGAAGAATGAAGACTGGGCTATTCTCGACAGACAAGCCCTCGGAGTTATCCGACTGACGTTATCCCGCAATGTTGCTTTCAACATAGCAAAGGAAAAGACCACGGGGGTCTTATGGTTGCTCTCTAGTGTATGAGAAGCCATCGGCCTCAAACAAAGTTCATTTGATGAGGCGATTATTCAATTTGCGATGGTGGAAGGGGCATCGGTGGCACAACACCTAAATGAACTCAACACAATCACAACCCAGTTGAGTTCAGTGGAAATTGAGTTCGATGATGAGGTTCGAGCTTTAATTCTCTTATCATCTCTACCAGACAGTTGGAATGCTACTGTTACAGCAGTCAACAGCTCGTCGGGGAACAACAAATTGAAATTCGACGATGTTCGGGATCTGGTATTGAGCGAAGAAATTCGACGGAGAGAATCGGGTGAAGCATCAACCTCCTCAGCCTTGCACACGGAGTCCAGGGAGAACTTCAGAAAGAAATTCAAATCGTGGCAGATCGAAATCCAGAAGGGGAAAATCAAGAACAGGAAATAAAGATTTTACCTGTTATAATTGCGGCAAGAAAGGTCACTTCAAAAGAGATTGCCGAGCACCGAAGAAAATACCGGCGCACAAGAATCTACCAACATGACAGAGGAGACAAGTGATGCCATTATTCTAAGCGTCAACAGTCTGATTGAATCATGGATCTTGGATTCGGGGCATATTTCCACTCCACCCATGCAAGAAATCATGAAGAACTATATCAGTGGTGATTTGGGAAGGTTCATCTTGCTGATGATGAAACCTTGAAGATCGTCGGAAAAGGAGACATCCGACTAAAGCTGCCAAACCAGACCACCTGGAAGCTGACAGGAGTGAGACATATTCCTGGCCTCAAAAGAAATATGATTTCTGTTGGACAGCTTGATGGAGAAGGTTATAGTACAACCTTTTCAGGATGTGAATGGAAGATTACCAAAGGAGCACTCGTCATTGCTCGTGGTAAGAAGACTGGTACTCTCTATGTAACCTCGAATTTAGAGAATATCATTGCAGTAGCAGATGCTGACGAAAAATCAAACCTATGGCACCAAAGGCTTGGTCATATGAGCGAGAAAGGGATGAAGACCCTTTTGTCAAAAGGGAAGTTGCCGGATCTAAAGAATGTAGATGGCGGACTATGCGAGGATTGCATCTTTGGCAAACAAAAGAAAGTCATCTTTACAAAGATTGGCAAGACTCCCAAGGCAGAAAGGTTAGAATTGGTTCATACTGATGTATGGGGACCAGCCCCAGTTCCATCTCTTGCAGGCTCACTATTTTATGTCACCTTCATCGATGATTCAACAAGGAAGGCGTGGGTTTATTTTCTGATGAAGAAATCAGAAGTCTTTGATACCTTCAGAAAATGGAAAGCCATGGTGGAAAATGAGACTGGTTTGAAAGTCAAGCGGTTGAGGTCTGACAATGGAGGAGAGTACAGAGACAGTAGATTCAGAGATTTCTACGCAAACAATGGGATCAAGATGGAGACAACAGTTCCCATAACACCGCAGCAGAATGGCGTAGCAGAGCGCATGAACAAAACTCTGAATGAACGTGCCAGAAGCATGAGGATACATGCCGGATTGCCCAATTTCTATGGGCTGAAGCTATCAACACTGCAGCTTACCTGATCAACCGTGGGCCCTCAGTTCCTTTGGATGGCAGAATACCAGAGGAAGCTTGGAGCAAGAAAGAAATAAACCTTTTACACTTAAGAGTGTTTGGTTGTATTTCTTATGTACACATAGATTCTGCTGAAAGAAGTAAACTTGATGCTAAGTCCAACAAATGTGTCTTTGTTGGTTATGGTGGTGATGAGTTCGGTTACCGATTTTGGACTACGAAAATCGAAAGATCATCAGAAGCAGAGACATCATTTTCAATGAAAATGTGATGTACAAAGACAGGTCAACCGCATAATCAAGTAATACCGAGGCTGAAACGAAAGAATTTGCTGAGTTCGAGGAGATTTCTGGAAATGATGTTCAGATCAATCCTGAAGCAGTTCAAGAAGAACCACACACCAGAACTGAGACGCTCCTCCAGAATTCCTAAACCAACCCAGCGGTATTCGCCTTCTTTGCACTACTTGTTGCTGACTGACAATGGTGAACCAGAGTGCTATGATGAAGCAATGCAGGTGGAGGATTCAGTCAAGTGGGAGTCTTCCATGAAAGATGAGATGGACTCGCTTATGTCAAATCAGACATGGGAATTAACTGAGTTACCACCAGGCAAGAAAGCGCTCCACAACAAGTGGATTTACAGGATCAAAGAAGAGCATGATGGGAGCAAACGCTACAAAGCAAGATTGGTAGTCAAAGGTTTTCAGCAAAAAGAAGGTATTGACTACAATGAAATTTTCTCTCCAGTCGTAAAACTGTCTACAATCATACTGGTGTTGAAAATTGTAGCTGCAGAGAATTTACATCTTGAGCAGTTAGATGTAAAGACAGCTTTCCTTCATGGTGATTTGGAGGAAGAAATCTATATGAGGCAGCCATAAGGCTTCATAGAGGCAGGAAAGAAAAAACTGGTATGCAGGTTGAAGAAGAGCTTGTATGGTTTAAAACAAGCTCCTAGACAGTGGTACAAGAAGTTCGATAGTTTCATGGGTAGCAGTGGTTTTACCAGATGCCAAGCAGATCATTGTTACTACATCAAGAGGTTCGACAATAGCTTCATTATTTTATTGTTGTACGTTGATGACATGCTCGTTGCAGGCTCAAACATGCAAGAGATCATAAACTTGAAGCAAAATTGTCGAAGCAGTTTGCTATGAAGGATCTGGGCGCTGCAAAGCAGATTCTTGGGATGAGGATCAAGAGAGACACAAAGTCAGGGACTTTGATGTTATCACAGGCTGAGTACATCAATAAAGTACTCTCCAGGTTCAACATGCAAGATGCTAAACCAGTAAGTACACCTTTAGGTGTTCATTTCAGACTCTCCAAAGAACAGTCACCAAAGACGGAGGAAGAACGTGCACACATGGTGAAGGTGCCGTACGCCTCAGCAATTAGAAGTATGATGTATGCCATGGTTTGTACCATACCAGATATTGCTCAAGCAGTGGGAGCTGTTAGCAGGTACATGAATAATCCGGGCAAAGTACACTGGGAAGCAGTCAAATGGATCCTCAGATATCTGCGGGGTACTACAAACAAAGCACTTTGTTTCAAAGGTAGAGATACGATACTAACAGACTATGTAGATGCTGACTTAGCCGGAAATGTCGACATCAGAAGGAGCACTACAGGGTATGTCTATACTCTAGGAGGAACTGCAATGAGTTGGGTTTCTCAACTACAGAAGATAGTTGCTCTTTCCACAACTGAAGCAGAATATGTCGCTGTTACGGAAGCCAACAAGGAGATGGTTGGCTCCAAAGTTTCTTGGAAGAGTTAGGCAAGAAACAAGAAAACAATATATTGTATTGCGACAGTCAAAGTGTTATCCATCTAGCGAAGAATCCGTCTTTTCATTCCAGGACAAAGCACATACAATTGCGATATCATTTTATCCGGTCTCTTCTGGAAGATGGGATTTTGAAACTTGAAAAGATCAGTGAAGCTCAAAATCCGGCAGACATGTTGACAAAGACGGTGACCACGGACAAACTGAAGTTGTGTTCAACTTCAGTTGGCATGCTAGGATAACAAGACCAGAAATGCTGTTGCATTGATCAAGGTGTGAAGACAGATTAAAATCAGTCTTCAAGTGGGAGATTGTTGAAAATTCAAATATGAATTTGTTGAATTCAAAGGTGGGCAACATGGGCGGCTAAAGAAGAATTCAAAGGTGGCTGGTGGCTGCCTACTTTTGTTGATTTTTTAGCTTGGTAAAATTATTTTTAGTCACTAGTCTTTAGGGTGTTTTCAAAGATTAGTCCCTAAGTTTCAACTATAAATACCCTAGCTCATTTAGTTTCAAAATCATCCCAAAATCTTCTAGTTCTCTCTCAAGTGTGTTGTATAAACACCTGTAAATTTTCTCTTAGTAAAAGATCTGTAGCAGCCCGGAGATGTAAGCACAATTGGCTGAACTCCGTTATTAATTTTCTGGTATTATTTTTCCGCTTTTATTTCGCATTCTCACTAATCTGGTTATAGGGAAATTACTTGTACTCGGTTTATTTCCTAACATACGATTCATCATAGATGATGGTTTTGCTGGAGCCTCGAGTAGTTGGAAAAAAAGGCATTATGGCAGCTCTGTTTTGGCATAGTAATTAGTTATACAGAGCAGCAAAATCATTCCTATCTATGCATCATCATATTAGTTTCTTATCTGTCCTTTTTATCTATGCATCAATTCAAAATTTTATAATTTTACTTATTTTAATATTCTAAATTTACGTTTTCTCTTAAGTAATATCGTCTCTAAATTCAAATCTACCTTGGAAATAATATTATTGCCACATGTAATGTATGAAAAGCTAATATAAAAAAATTGACTTCAAATGTCTAATTTCACTATAAATAATAAATAAAATAAATTCGAATAATTATCGAAGTTATTGGATTATCTTTAAACCCAACCAATGCTTTTGGGCCTAATCTATCCATCTTAATTGGCCATTTTCGCTATATAGTAATTTCTCCCTCCACTACCCTTCCCCCCCTCTTGATACCCGCCCTAGCTAGGGTTTCCCCCCCTCTTTTCAGTCTCACCGTTCGTCACTGTGAATCGCCAAAATGTCGATGTCAAAGAGTTCCAAAATGCTTCAGTTCATCAACTACAGGATGCGGGTCACCATCCAAGACGGCCGGCAGCTGGTGGGCAAATTCATGGCTTTCGATCGGCACATGAATCTCGTCCTCGGCGACTGCGAGGAGTTCCGCAAGCTTCCTCCTGCTAAAGGAAAGAAAAATCCCAGCATCAACGAGGAACGAGAAGATCGTCGAACGCTTGGCCTTGTTCTTCTCCGTGGTGAAGAGGTTATCTCTATGACCGTCGAAGGTCCTCCTCCTCCCGAAGAGTCTCGTTCCAAGTCCGCCGGCGCTAATGCCGTTCCTGGCCCTGGTATTGGTCGTGCTGCTGGCCGTGGGATCCCTACTGGTCCTCTCGTTCAAGCGCAGCCTGGTCTTGCTGGGCCCGTTCGTGGCGTTGGCGGTCCTGCTCCTGGGATGATGCAGCCTCAGATCTCTCGCCCGCCGGTTCCGCAACTCTCGGCTCCGCCCATGTCTTACCCTGCTCCTAGTGGAGGTCCGCCTGTGATCCGGCCGCCTGGGCAAATGCCACCAGGGGCTTACCCTGGTCAGCCACAAGCACCTCAGATGCAACGTGGCCCGCCTCCATCGGTACCACCACCGGCTTTTGGAGTAAGGCCACCACAGCAATACCAAGTCCCACCACCACAATTTGGTCAGAGGCCGATGGTTCCACCTCCAGGACCAATGATGAGAGGACCTCCTGGTCCGCCACCTCCGAGGCCTGGAATGCCTGCTCCACCTCCACCACGCCCTGGAATGCCTCCGCCGCCAGGAGCTGTACCTGTTTTCGGGCCACCACGCCCCGGAATGCCACCTCCTCCCCAAAACCAGCAGCAGAATCAGCAGCAGTAGGAGTGCTTTTGATTTGGTACGACATATTTCAACTCCCAAGTGCTTCTATGGTCTATTTTGCTGGAATGATAGATGGTATTTAGCCGGCAATAATGTGTAACTAGTTTAGTCATTTATGAAGCTGAGCTGAGTCTTCTAAAGAGATAAAAAAATGCAGGTTTTCTTCATTTCATATATTTGTGTAAACTTATGTTGAGTCTTGGAGAGAACTTCACCAAGAATGTTTATTATGTTCAACTTGTATGCTTCCTTTATCTTTAATCTAAACTTTGTAGTTTCATTTTTAAGAGTACTGGTGCCTTTATTTCTAAATTCTATGTAGGGATTTTCTTGGAAGTATTTGTTGTTAGGGTATTTATATGAGTTGAAGCATAGTTGTAAAAAGCGCGCCTGAGGCTCACTGAACGGGCTTTTTCAACACTGAAGCACGTAGCTTAGGCGCACCTAGGTGCACCTAGGTGCACCTAGGCGCAGCGAGGCTATGAGGCGCGAGGCTCAGTCGAGGCGCAATTGGGCTTTTTGCCAATGTTTTATTCGTGTCCATAACAAATCTCTCAGTATAAAGTTTTGATCTTTAATGTTTTAATGTTTTAATTTTCTAAAAATCGATTGCATAATGCTGAAAATGAAATCAATTTCATTGCAAATCAGTCCAAACGTTTGCATCTCTGCCCATCGGACACAATTCCCAAAAGACCAGAAGTAAAGAAAGAGGAGGCAAAATTTATAACAAAATAAAGAAAATTGAAAGTAGAAAACAAAGAGGAAACCTTTCACGGTGTTGTTCAGGAGTTAACCCATCGTCTCTGGAGTTCTTGCCTTTGTGTTCAGCTCTGGCTTGAGCCCTTTCTCGATCTCTCTGGTTGCCCCGTTAGCTTGTGTTAAGGAAGAAAAGGCAAAACATAAACACAGAAATACAAAATTTCCTCCTATATTTTACATGAATCCTACTGAATAAGGATATTAGACATTGCTGATTCTCAGAAAATGAATTATAAGATGAAAATGATTGTGATGGTGAGAAATTGAAGGGCATGGACTCGAGGAAGAAAGGAGATGACTTATAATCAGGTCTGTGGAAGACTCGGGAAGCCGCACCTATTCTGTTCTTACCATATTAATTAATTAATTAATTAACTAATCATTGTTTATAGGGTTAAATGTACCATTACCTCTTGAATTATACAATTTATACCGTGTTGTTTCTAAATTATTTTTCGAACTTATTAACTATAAAATCATTATTCTGTTTGTCATAAATTATTAACACCGCTAAAAATCAATTAAAATACGTCACACCATAATTTATTTTCAATTTATTTTATATGAATAAATAAAAATTAATTAAAAAATAAAATTACAATTTTTTGGATATCATGTGTCTCGCCTTCGTGAATTCCACGCCTTTCATGCGCCTTGCGTCTCAAGGCTCCAGGACACTTTGCGCCTCGATGCGCCTTGAGCCTTTGATAACTTTGAGTTGAGAAGAAGTTACATTCTTTGATACCCAGACTGTTAATTTATTCTCTAGTACCCGTGACTGACAATTAAGTCCAACACGTATAATTGTATGTATGTATTGGACATATATGTTCGTATCTGACACCCACCCTTGAATTAGTTCAAGTAACATAGCTTTTGTTACTTGAATTAGTCCATGTAACATAGCTTTTGGTCCTTGAGGAGAACCATTGTGGATAGCTTGGAAGTTGGAATAATGTGTCCATGAGTAGTTAAGTGACTTAACTTTGGATTAATTAAAATGATGGTACTGGAGTCAAACACTACAAGTTTCATGGATGAAACGTTGTTGAAACTTTTGACGCATAGGGAGGACATCATGAAGGCGTTGGAGAGGAAAAGATTTTCACCAGGGGAGTGGCGCAATCGTGGATCAAAATGGCATACGGTGTTCGTCAACAATGTGAGCAAAAGGATCCATCCTAATACCCTCAAGGAGGCGTTTCAAGCTTATGGAGTCGTAACTGACATTTTTATAGCGTTCCGAAATAGGAGACTATCAAGTGGTTCTACCTTTGCCTTTGTTAGGTTCAGAGATAAATTCGAAGCAGACACAGCGGTCCGTAGGGCTGATGGTAGGTTTATGGATGGGTTTTAAGATCAGAGTGTACCATGACATCAAGGGAGAAACAAAACCAAGGAAGGTTGATGATGGTAGATCTATTAAAAAAGTGTGGAAACCATCGTTAAGGGATTCCAGGTCGTTCAAGGATGTGCTAGGAGGGATGCAGACTGTCGCAAGAAGGGAAGTAGATAATGTTGATAATAATCAGTTTTCTTTGCCCTCCGGACTGGTTAACGTGTTTCATGTTGTGACTGTAGACGTTAAAGGTCAAAGGCCAGAGCTTTCAAATGTGGAGAAAAACATGTGCATTCGTATTAAGGAGACGGAGTTATCGTGGAGGAATACTTGTCTGGTAGGAAAAATTAAAATTATGTACAACGAAGATATTATACAAGCAGCATTCAGAGCAGAAGGTATCGATGTGCAGGTGAGTATTTGGCATGAGTTACTGGTAGTCATTCAATTCAAAAACAATTCTGATCATCAGGGGTGCTGGTTCAATAGAGAGGCTTGGATTCATCGCTGGTTTGATGACTGGAATTGTTGGAGGGTGAGAACAAAGTCAGATTAAAAGTCTGGTTGTTGTTGTCGGTTGTACACTTAGCAGTGTGGAGTAAGAATTTCTTTATGGATTTAGGTCGCCGATGGGGCAAAGTTTTACAGTTAGACGAAGACACTTGTTATCGAAGGAGATTTGATGTAGCAAAGATCTTGATCGAAGTCCAACATGTTTCGGACATTCCAGAGAAAGTATCCATTGTCTTTAATGGGAAATTATACACAATAAAAATTTTAACAGAACTTCAGGAAGAAACGCGGTTGTTCTTAGATGGTTCATTAGCTGGCGGCGGAGCGTGGTCCTATGATTTTGAAGAAGCGGGTGAGATTGCTTTGAATGATAAAGAATTCGCTGTTGAAGTTGGTGCCGAGGCAGAATGTTATGGGGCAGTTGCGCATGCTTTGCCCTGTCAGAAGAAGTCCATTGTTAATGGAGCGATGGCAGTTAGTGAGGGGCACGTGGGTGGTGAGGGGGAAAGGAGAGTTGTTGAAGATGAATCTCTGCATGAAGTCCCGATTCATTCGGACGTTGGGCTTGTTAACCAACATGAGGATATAAGTGTTGGGCTTATGGATATAAATAGACGTGATGATCAAATTTGGCATACCCAATCCTTATCCAATAGCTCAAGGTTGTTGGACATTCACATTGAAGAGGTGTCTTCAATTAGAGTTGTAGCAGAGGACCAGATTGCTAATGCTTGCGTGGGGGATACAGTAAAGTCCCTAGTGCCGGATCGTGAAATTCCCAAATAAAAAAAATTGGTATTTCTTCGAAAGCCGATCTGGGGGCGGGCTTGGGTAAGAAGCGAAGGATTAAGAGAAGCTCAGCTTTAAATACAAAGAAGAAGAGTAAGAAAAGGCAGGTTTTGTTTCAAAATGAAATAAGGGATGAGGCTGATCGTGGAACTGCGGTGGGGGGGATCTCGTTTGATCGCTCGGGGATTGGCAATGAAGCGATGGAAACGTTTGATGTTGGAGAGGCATTTGGCGTTGTCTTCTCGGTGTCGAGGGAGGAGGTGGTTCATCGTCTGGAGCAGAACGAGCTCTTAGGTAAGCATTGATTGGGGTCTGTTTATTGCAGTATCTCTCTCGTTTTTGTGTTTTAATTAGTATTGATTCTGGTCTCTCGGTCTTAAGCTGGAATGTTAGAGGGTTGGGGAAATCCATTAAATTAAGTGCTATTAGACGGGTTTTAGAATTTAACAAACCGAGTATAGGGTTCATTCAGGAATCAAAAGCGAATGACATTTCTGCTTATGTTGGGCAAATCCTTAAGGGTAGAGTTTTTAGAGATCTGGTGTTTGCGCCTGCTGAAGGCGCTTTAGGAGGTCTCATTTCGTTTTGGAACTGTAATGTGTTTGAAATGATTAGCAACATTGTTCTTAGAAGAATTATAGCGATTAAAGGCAGATTGATTTTTAATAATTCTGAGATTGGTTTTGTCAATGTATATGGGCCGAATTATCACAGTGAAAAAACTGAGTTTTTTGAAAATCTCAGTAGTGTTATCGCAAATCTTAATTGCCCATTTATACTAGGGGGTGACTTTAATGTTGTAAGGTATACCTCGGAAAGAATTGGGGCATCTGATCAGGTTGCTGCGAGGAGTTTGTTTGAAGAGTTCATTTCAAGGTGGGAGCTGGTTGAAGCTCCAATTATGGGCAGTATTTTCACTTGGTTCAGGGGAGGGACGACCGTGTCCGCAAGTAGACTGGATCGGTTTCTTATCTCTACTGAGATTGTCGGTGTGTTTCCTGGCTTGATGCAGTTCACACTTCCTAGGAGTCTATCGGACCATAATCCGATCGTGCTAAAAGGTAGGAAGCAAAGTAAAGGTTATAGGCCTTTCAAATGGTTTAACCATTGGGCGGAAGATCCGATCCTCTTCGGTAGAATTAAAGACGTGTGGGAGTCAAATAGAGGAAAAAATATTATGCAGTCTTTTTTGCTAACGAAGGCTGTCACCAAAGAAAGAGAAATCCATTCGGTTAACCAATCAAGACTCAGCGGAAAAAATTGGGAAACTGATTGATGATCTAGAAAAAAGGTGTATAACCCAAGTTCAGGTTCTGCTCAGGCTGATCTTGTTGCTTTGAAGGTTCGTTTGTGGGAAGTTCTGAGGAAGGAAGAACGAGATTAACTTCAAAAATCTAGACTTAGGTGGTTTAAAGAAGGGGATAGAAACACGAAGTTTTTTCATTTGACTGCTACTTCAAGAGCAAGAGTTAACCAGATTTCAAAGTTGAAGATCAATAATTCGACCCTTAAACATCAAACAAGGATTCAACAAGCTTGTGAGTCATTTTCGGAAAAAAAAATTAATGACGTAAAAACTATTCCAGTTAAGAAATTTGACATCCGCTCAAGAGACTTTATAACGCCACTAAAAGGTATATTGAGAGTCCTTTTACTGAAGAAGAGGTCTGGATTGTAATTAATTCTTCCCACGGTTCGAGGGCACCGAGTCGGATGGTTTTAACTTGGATTTTTACAAAAAATCCTGGAACGTTATTAAGGTCGATGTCATGCTGTTCATAGCTGATTTTTATTGGGGTAGAGTTCTGGATCCTTTATTTAACAAATCTTATATTGCTCTTATTCTGAAAAAAGGGGAGGCTATTTATCCGGAGGATTTTAGGCCA